CCATGTTTTGAAAATGTTTTAAAGCTATTTTTTTTTGCGACGCATTAAAAAGTTGAATAGAACTTTTATTGCACCAAATGTTTATTGAATGGTCTCAAAAAAAAAAAAAAAAAAAAAGAGAAAAAAAAAAAGGCAAGCCTCCTCATGTCCCGTTTCTTCTCTCGCCGGACAAAGATAATCCGTGGCTATAATGGACTGTGACAAAACTCAGGGCAATTAGGGTACTCGTTGGCACCTTTTCCAGCTTTCTTGTCTCTCCAGAACATGCAGGACAACAACAAAGCCTGATTGCCGTGGACATTGGACTGCACGAAAAGCCAAGGCAGAAGCCAATCAGGACGATCATTGACACCTTTTTTTCTGGATTTCAATCCCCAGATCTTCAGAGTCTCCGGAACAAGGTACGGATTAGACAAATCCTAGCGGCCATGGACGGCGACAAAGTCCAGGCATACGGCAACCCGGGCAAGCATCTTTTCTGGATCATGGGCCTCGCTGCACGGTACGCGATATGAAAAAAAGACGATTGCCTCAGCCCAGAGACGGTGGCAAGAAACATCCGTTGCTATTTATAGTAAATGGATGAATCCTTCCCATCATATGTGGAAAGAGGCACTCGTTTTGTTTTCGTTTCGTAATATTCGTATGCACAAGCGACGAGCCCCCATAATGCACATGCAACCAATTGATGCTGTGCTTTCAAAGGAGAGGAAAGAGAGGACACTGCACCTTCCGAGGTCCGATGCCGGGTGGTGGTGTGAAGGCCCAGTTTCCGCCTTTCGATGGCTCGACGTGTAAGCATTTGCTGAAGGAAGCGGTTGTGACTCATGAGAAGGTAGCACACGAAGCTCCAAGGAAAGAAAAGACGATGAGTGCCACGAAAGCAGAGCAAATGGGAAGTCGAACTCAGGGGTGAAGGAAGTACTATACCAATGAACTGACAAGATGCATCATATAAACCAATGAACAATGATATATTTGAAGGTGCTAAAATAAAGTAGCTGTGACATCGCATGACCACCCCCTGAGATAACCTCAATGTGTTTCAGAGATGCGCCACCCATCAACTCATCAAGGGGACCCACGCACTGGGTTGTCTGGCAACTTCAGCATACAGAAAAACATACTATGCCAATGAAATGACAAGTCGCAGCGTATAAAGTTATAAACCAATGAGCAGCGATTTATTAGAAGATGATAAAATAAAGTAGTTGTGGTGTCGCATGACCATTCCCTGGCCTATCCTCCATGTGTTTCGGAAATGCCCCACCCGTCCATCACCTCATCATGGGGACCCACGCACTGGGTTGTCTGCCAACTTCAGCATACAGAAAATCGTATACTATGCCACGGAAATGAGAAGACGCAGTGTATAAACCAACGGACAACGACTTACTTGAAGATGATGCAAACAGTTGTGACATCGTTCGCATGACCATCCCCTGGAAGATCATCAATGCGTTTCGGAGATGCGCCGACCAATTCACCTCATCAGGGGGACCCACCCACGTCACCCCATCACTTTTCCATCACAGCATCATTCACCCCTCCAGCCCTGAATATGCGGTTGGGTTCCTAACAAGCTGGAACCCACTTCGATTTGAGGTCTGTCATAGCGCTGGCACAAACATTGGACAGAGTTAACAAGAAATCCTCTGAAGAGACATGAGCCACAGCTTGGGCCTGAGTCCGTAAGAAAATGCACGAAGCCTTGGGGGAAAGATGATACCTTGCATCTCCTCTGCTGGTCTCAACTCGTGTCCCTTTCGCCCCGACCCTTATCCCTCTCTACATCGAACCTTACATTGAGTTTTGCCGCCGACTACCTCACACTCAGCTTCATTTATATATATTGTCACAATATATATATATATATAATATATCGTCAAATAGAACTGCCCGGTAAACCGTAGGCAGAGAGGGAGAAGAGGACAACAAACGAGGGGCTGTGACAAACTGTTTCGTCGGAGTTTCACCGACTCATCAGGATAT